GCTCTCCCCTCCCCCGCCCGGGACAATGGCCGCGCCGTCTAGACACCCCCTCCCCCCGGCCGGCCTAGCTCTTTCTTTGCCAGACAAAGCGGGACGGCGGCGGGGCCGGGAGGGGGCTGCGGGGGCGCAACCCCCCAAGGGAGGACTGGCCGCCAGAGGAGGGACGCGGGCCGAGTGGCCCTGACCCGGGTCCCTAGGCGCTGCTGTGGGACTCGGCGCTGGGAGGGGTGGGGGTTGCGGGAGGGAACCAGCCTCCTCAGCCCGGCCCGGGGCCAGTGGTGGGGCAGGACTGGGCAGGAGCAGCCGCCTTCGTGAGGCCAGTGCACACACACACATGGCCTGTCACACACTCAGGCACACACAATCCTGGATCACACGTGCGGAGATGCCGACGTGCACACGAGCACACACAGGCAGAGAGTCCACACAGAATACACCCACAGATGTGCACACCCAGCTCACACATGCTCACACATGCATGCACAGTCACACATGTTTACACTTACTGTGCACCACAGTCCAAGGCCTCACACACACTGCCTGCACACATTCAGGTCCACACAGACAGATGCAAGGACATGCCTGCAGCCAGCTCATATACATGCAGGCCAATGGGCACTTTCAACCCACACACGGACACACCCATGCAAACACAGGTCACACACAGACACACAGATGTATTCCCAGATACGTGGTTCACATACATGGACACACAATAAGTTCCAGCCTACAAATATTTCATACACATCTCTACACCCATGCAGATCATGAAAACGCACATGTGGCTCACAGGGCCCACAGCTCAGCAAGTCCCATGGCTTGTGTCATGTGGCCCCCAGTGTGAGTTTACAAACACCCATTGGTCCCTGTCTGGGTAGTAGTGTCATGTCCGCTTGTCCCCCAAGGAAGGGGACACAAGCCAAGTAGCTGCATTCTCTTGTGCAGCTTAACTTGTTCTGTCTCTCACTCTCTCCCTTTTTTATCTCTCTCTCTTTCCTTCCCTCCTTCCCTCTGGGTCTGCCTGCTTCTGGTTTTCTCTCTTCTATCTCTCTGTGTTCCTCATCTTCTCCACCCCTCTTTCACACAGGCACAAACGGGCACACAGACATGCAGTGGCCCCACACCTGCTGGCACACACAAGTCTCCACTGGCTCACACCCCGCCACACCCCTGACCATCTGACAGTTAGACTGGGTCACACCCCAGAGGGACACAGCCCTCAGGGATGGGGACGCTGGACAGAGCAGTACACACCTTATGCCAGCTGCCCCTCCCTTCAACACATACCCTATCCCTGCAACACCCAGTTCTGGCTGCACATGGAGGACATGCCTTGGCTTCTCTCTTCAGAGCTAGCATGCAGGCCTGCCCAGCTGGAGAAGATGCCCAGCATCAGGGGAAGAAAGATCCATGGTCCCAAGACTCCCCACCCCTGCCCCCTTCACAACCCCAGGATCTGGGCACACAGTCCCAGATCTCCCTTCCACACTCGGCAGCACCCTCACTTCCTGTCTTAGCACCACCACCCCCATTCTGGCAGCTTCTGAGCCTCACATCTGGCACTAGTCAGCCCCTCCTCCTGCCCACCCCTGCCTTGTGGTTCCCAGGGCTCGAGCTGGCAGGGACAGCTGCAACCCCAACAGCTGGGGCCGGGGCGGGGGTGGGGGGGTCGTGGGAACTGTGGATGGGGGTGCTCCCGGTACTCAAAGAGACGCCCCCAGCCTGGCGCAGCTGTTGCCTGAGGGAGGAAAGGAGGGAGTCTCACTCTGGGCTGGGGTTCCTGGGTGCCTGCCTGACCCCCCTACCTTCCTTCACCCCCACCCAGCCCCCCCTTGCCTGGATGGAAGTCCGTGTGCCAATGGAGGTCGCTGCACCCAGTTGCCCTCCCGGGAGGCTGCCTGCCTGTGAGTGCCTGGCTCTGAGCCATCAGTGGGCCCGGTGTGGGGAGGCGGTCTGTCTTCTCTCCCCATCCCCCACCTCCGTGTTCATCATGGATGCTTCTACCACTTCCTACATGTGTGTGGCTTGGTCAACCCCTTGTTTCCTCATTGGATCGAGCAAAGTTAGAAGCAGAGGCTCTGGAGTCTGTCTGTCCTGGTTCAAATCCCACATCACATTGCTGACTGCCTGGGACTTAAACTCTTTAAGCCTCAGTGTCCTAGTCTGGAAAATGGGCCCAACAACCCCAACTTCACAGAGTTCTCGGTTGCCTAAGGTCACGTGTAAATCCCCTGGTGGAGGTAGTTATTATTTAATCAATAAATCTTAAGGGACCAGTGGCGGTAGCTTGGCAGTAGTGGGTAAGTGGGTACAGCATCTGCACCTTCCCACATCCCAAGATTTAGTGGCAGGGGCACAGGAGCCCTGCTCTGCCTCTTTCTTGCTGTATGACCTTGAGTTAGTAGTCACTTTCCCATTCTGAACCTCATTGATCTGTGAATGAGGGTACTTCTCCTTGGCTTGTGGCAAGAATGCAGTTGTTGGATAATACAAGGAAAGGCAGAGGGTTGGGGGAGCAGGGCAGGGCCTGAGAAATTGCTGAGCAGAAGCAAACAGAGCTCAGTTTGAATTCTCGGCTCTTGGATACCTTGAGCAAGTGCTTTGAGCTCTCTGAGCCTCAGTTTTTGCATCTGGAAGATGGGGCAAGAATAGTCCCTTTATGGGGTTGATTGTAAAAATTAAAAGAGACTTTTCATATGGGGAATGCAGCATAATGCTGGGCATAGAGTGAGTGCGCAATAAATGAGATTATTATTATTAGGAATAATAATAATGGTAGGGACACTGGAAATAGATGCCAAAAGGGAGATCGTCTCAAGGTTATGGGGAAATGTTTGGTTCCTTTTATAATATTGTCATTAATAATAGCAGGTCACCCAGTAGCCATTCATCTATTCATTAATGTATACACTGATTCAGCAAGTGTGCCAGACCCAACTTGGGTAGGTCTGGGGTGATTTGAGAGCCCTTTTGAAGTTACACACACACTTTGGAGCCCCACTTTGGATCACCTGGGTAGGGGTCTTAGCCTGGCTGAGCGGATTACGCGGGTTGGGAGTTTGCGGTGGTGGGAGTCGGGGGGGGGGGGGGGAAGTGTGGCCTTACCTGGAGCCACTCACCTGGGAGGCCAGGCCACCGGGGCCGGGCGCCTGCGCAGTGGAGCTCCGCGCCTGGAATGCTGCCGACAGGTGAAAGCGCCCGCGGCTGCCCCGCCCCCCGACAGGTGAATCACTGGCGCGCGCGTCCGCCCGGAGTCCGGATCTCCCGGAGTGGAGCGGGCTCAGTCCCCAGAGCTGGGCCGTGGGAACCATACCCCACACCCCCCTCCCCACACCCTAGTCTCCTTCAAGGTCCCAAATACTCGTGTCCTTTCAGGGGCGCCCCAATCTATCACCCCTCCATGAATTCCCTAACTCTCCCTTTTAAAGCAGGCTCCCAAACCCTTGTCTCTGTCTCCTAGTCCTCGCCTCTCGGGCCAGTCCCCCCACCAAGTGCGCGCTCCCCGCTGCCCCCGCCCCCCCGCCCCCGTCGGTCTCCCGCA